TACAGTACTACTACCGCCTGCTTCACACAACAGAGATCAAGAAATTACAGGCAGTCCAAATTTGCGGTTGCTGAATGAAGAATAATGTGGATTTAAGACTAAAAAGACATTTGAATGTTGCCTATTATTACGTACCTTTGCCCTAGTGAGCTCTGTGGTAACATACAAAACAAATCCCTGGAGGCGAATCAAATGTTTGAAATAGAACATGCTTTTAAAGAGAAAGCTATCCACTGTTCAGCCACCTATTTCACATTCCTTTGAACACTTTGTGATGTCTTCAGTACAAATAAACATTCAAACATTCATACGACAGTAGACAGCAGAAGTCAAAGAAACCATCATTTAATATTCTTTTTGATTTGAAAGATCACTGAATTAGTATTAATCTTCTATGCACAAGAGGTAAAAATATGGGCAAGTTTTGCATCAGTTACATCCCTCTCCCCCCAAATTCCAAATTACCAGCAAGGAAAGATTAAAATTATTTTCAAACTCATTTTGATTTCATATTTTCAGAGAGTATTATTTGCCAAAATATTTTTTCAGCTGAAAGAATACTGCTAAATCCCAGCATTCCCAAGACACATTTCATTTGACAATCCCATTGTAGGATTGTTGTCTTTTCTATCCATTTTTTTCATCAGACAAAAATAGCTCTGCTGATATAAAAAGATCAAAAGCTAACATTCTAAAAACAAATGCCAATGCCTCTCAAACAGGAATGAAAACTGTCCATTTATATCACAATTGCTAAAAGTCAGTGAACTCTGGTGGACAGAATGCTGGACTGAATTTATGTTCAAATCCATTTGAAAGTGGGAATTACTAGAAGTCATAAAGAAACTTCACACGTCATCCCCTTTTCCCACTCACAAAACAAGAATAGGGAAGACCAAACTAACTGAAAACATCACTTGAAAAAACAGTATGGTTGCATGACTACGAGTCCATGTGTCATCACTTATAATTGCCCTCGTCTTTATTTCTTTGGCTTTGCTAGCAAGTTCATAGCATTATCACAGCCTGCCTTTGTTTCAGATGCTATCTACAAAATTTAATTGCTGGTGAAAACTGCAGTTCATTTACCAGCTGCTTGGAGGATACATAATCACATCTCTTCCCTCTCCCTCACTGCTGCATGAAATTCATTTATATCTAATGGCTATTAAAAGACAGATGATAGTTCCCTCTTTAACAGGCAGTTATCCCAAGTGTGTTCAAAATGAAACAGGTGGCAGTATTGATAGTAAGTTCTCCAGAAGAGGAAGATAAAGAGGGAGACTATAAAAGAGCAAAATCAACAGAGCAGGAGAGTCATGGATGGATTGTGTGTGTGAGAGAGAAAAAGAACAAGGTATAAGAACGAAAAGAAGGAATATCCATATGAAAGAATACCGTATTTTTCTGTGTATAAAACTATACTTTTCCTCTAAAATATTTAGTTTCAAAATTTAGGGGGGTGCTTTGATCCCAGCCTTCCCCATCCACTTTCTTGCAAAGAAAGTAATTCTGGGTTAGAAAAATGGGGGGGCACGTCTTATATGTGGGAGCGTATTAAACATGGAAAAATATGGCAGGTCAACTGAAAACAGTCCTGTATTGTAGGAGTCCATGTAGTCATAGAAAAAAAATCCATAGCACATTTTATGAATGCTGGACATATGGATCTCAGGGATTTTGTAGTGTGGTTTTCTATTATTCTCAGAGAACCCCAAAAAAGTAAGAAAAATATAGTTGAAAGGGAAAAATGGCTTGAAATTTCATCCTCCCTAAACAAGATTGGTTGTGTACCCAGCTGTGAATATAGCACTAATGTTCACACTATACTGGCTGCAAGCACAGAAATCTTCAATAGGACACTGGCCTTAAAAAAAAAATAGGGTTATTGCACAACTTAAATTATGTATGTACTCATTTTTAATGGCAGAAACCTGAAAATCAATAATTAGAAGCAGAGCCAAAAAAATTAAAAAACTGCACTATACAAATATAGTTGAGCACAGGCTAAAATCACAGTCCACAGTCCAAATACTTAGGCACGTAAAGGGCAAGTAAGTCCCAAGCAGACTGTTGATTTTTTTTCCTTCCTTAACACCAGCCCTCCCATGCTGCATTGCAAACATATTTTGTAAGTCTTCTCAGTTTCAAAAGACAGAGCAAAGACGGTGTAAAGTGGGAGTGGGCTCCCCATAGTTAATCATGTAGCTCTCTGTATCAAAGCAAGGATATTCTGTTTGTAGACATTGGAAAATATGTAATAAAATATTGAATTTTACAAAACCATAGGTCAGACTGAAGCAGGCTGCAGAATTTGGAATGGCTTGGGTATTGGGTTTTTGTTTGTTTGTTTGTTTGTTTGTTTTGCAACTGGTTGCAATTAAAGACAAGAATGACATTAAAAACTTCCAAGAGATAGTTTCAGGCCACAACAGAAGACACAGATCACTTCTATACTGGAAACAACTCCAGAAACCACTCCCTTTTTATTTACTAACATCTAAAGAGTACTATTGAGATGCTGACGCTAAAAAGACTGGAGTTGACAATCATAAATAATGGGGGGGGGAGTTTCAAGGGGACATCACGTCAAGGGTTAAAAGTTCATAGGCAAGAGACAATGGAATATTCAAATTTACTAAAATCCAAAATCAATTTATTTAGGATCAAGAAGGAAGCAATGGGAAACCATTTCTGAGAATTCTATACCTAGAAAACTGTGGAAAGGTTTGCCATGTGTTAAAATCAACTTAAGGACATGTAGTTATTATTTTTTGAAAAACATCTGGATTTCCTCTTCTTGTGATAAAGCACTGCCCCCTATTAGTCTTGAGCTATCACATAATTTACTAAATCTACAGAAACATCTTTTTAAAAGCAGACATCCCAGCTCCTTGAAATGGAGTTAGAAAATATTTTATTCTATAGATATCAGTCTGCACATTGCAATCATCTATATTTACAGCATCTCAGTTCTCCTACTGCTGATCCTTACAATGCCAAAAAGGTATCACCGTTGCACAAGAGGAAGATATCATGAGACTTGAGAGAAATGCAAGGACTGCAAAAGTTTTTTAAAAAGTCATAAAGGGGAAATACTAAAAGGGGAAAAATATAGCCCAGTAAGCAGAGCAGTTAGAATGGAGAAGCTTAGCATTTTCATCCACTGCTGCAGTTCTGAAAAGAAAGAACTACTCAGAATGAAGAACAATGAATATGTGAAAAATCAAGAGCTTATGAAACCTCTGCCTAGGATATTCATGTTTGGATGGGAAACGGTTACCTTATGAAAAAAGGAGTCAAGGTCCGGCATTCCGCCCCCCCCATGTCTCTTTATGAATAGTAGTAAGCACAAAAGGAGATTCTCTAAACCAGCGGTCCCCAGCCTTTTTGGGGCCACGGACCAGCTGTGGGGAGTGAGCTCCATGCACAGGAGGGTGGGGACACCCCCTGCGCAAGTGTGGGGAGTGTCGCATTCACAAGGGGAGTGTCACACTCGTACAGCGTGCCCCTGTGTGAGCGTGGCATGCCCCCCCACAAGCATGACACACAACATGCATCCTGCATGAGCGTGGCACACCCACCGCGGGTGCAACACGCACCCCGTGCGAGTGTGACACACTGACGACCCATGGGGGGTGGAGATCCATATCCACGGGCCAGTTCCAGCAAGCCCACAGACTGGCACCAGGCCGTGGACCAGGGGTTGACGACCCCTGCTCTAAACCATTGTGACCGTTGACACTGGTGCTCTCAACATTCAGGCAGGCTATATAAAGCTTGCCATCCTTTTTCTGTTGGCAACACACAATGCAGACAATGTCATGCAATTTCTTGCATTTTGAATCACGGATACAGAAGCAATATCTCACATTTGTAAACTTAAGGTTTTGTTGTTGTTGTTTTTTGAAGGATTTACTCATTCAAGACTGAAGCACAGCACCTGCTCTGCAAGAGAATCCCTTCTGAAAATCTTCCTCCTGCTTCTCTTCTTACAACAGTATCACTTGGCATGATTTCTTTAGAGTTCTTTCAGTTTCACTGCAGGCTTAGCTAATAAGCAATGCCAGCTCAAGTTTGAACAAATATAATTATTCTGTTCTTTATGAAACTAAATATACATCCATGCTTTAATCATGTAAACTTTGAATTAGCTTCTATTTAATCATCACCATCATCATTTTAGAACTGCAAAGCTGGAAGGGACCCTATGGGTCATTAAGTCCAGCCCCTGTCAAAGAGGCACAGCAGGGTTTCAAACTCCCAGTCTCTGGCTCTGCAGTCAGATATCTAAACCACTGAGCTATACAGCAACAATTTTGTTTTACATACAACTATGCAAAATATTTACTTCATTATAACCAGGGAGCAGTCCCTCAATAATTACATGTATAGATTCAGTGGCTGAAATCTAATAGTAAGTCACAACTAGAGCAGTCCATTGAATCAGTGGAACTTATGGAGGAGCTGACTCACTAAATCGCCACTGATGCAATGGGATCTATTCTAATTATGACTTACTATGTATTTCACACTCTCATGTGTCATTTTCTCTCTTCTTTCTTTTAGAAAACCTGAAGCAAAACAAAGGTGATTCTAACGATGTTCAGTCAAATGATGCTCCACCACAATCAGGAACATCTGACTATGGCTACTCTTAAACACTTATTTGGGGAAACAGGCTGGGAACAATTAATCCTATCTTGCTGATGATGCTCTTTGAAGTTGATAAAAATAATGCTATAAATTCTACATTTCAGAAATATTCTGCCATTTATTTTATTTATTTATTTATTTATTTATTTATTTATTTAATTTATATGCCGCCCACACTACCCAAAGGTCTCTGGGCGGCTTACAGCATTTAAAATTTGTAGGAAATGCTACTTTCAATTTTCTTGGATAACTGTTACAGAAATATATCTCTTGATACATTTCGCCACGTGCACTGTGCTACAGAAATCATTAAAAGAATTAACCAAGAGTATATAAGCCTTTACCTGAGATGCCATCAAATTGCAGTCCAGGTGCATCCCTTTCCCTGTCTTCTGTCTTTGAATAAGTGCAGCCATAATTGCTCCATATGCATACAATCCTGTGGCAAGATCTGTCATAGCTACCCCTGGCCGTACTGGCTCACCCCCCTAGAAGGAAAACAAAACAAGGAAAGAACACTTGGCATCTCAATATCATACAGCATATACTACCAACAACTTTTCTTTGTAAATCCATGATTAAGTTCTCACTTACAATTTAGAGCATTCTGCAATTCAACATTCTCATTAAGAATCTCCAGTGATCCATCAATCTGCCAGACACAATTGTGATGTTATGGCAAGTGACTAGCTAGTATTTCCTAGTATTTGTATTTACAGACAGTGGCTTCAGTTAAAACATGAATGAGATGAGACCAGACAAGGATCATGCATCCTTCCCTTTAGAGCTCCGTAGAAGCCTTGAGTATAATAAACATGTGAGTAAGGCAAAGGGCTCACACACTTGAAAACAGAGGGTACGGTAAATTTCTGTTCAGAGCAAGATATGTTTTGTGCACATTCAGAATGGTTTTCAGTTTATTTCATGTCTTAAAAATATATCAAGCATACTGCACTTTTATGTGAATGCATATTAGCAAATAATGATATATTCTATATTCTATAGATATAGATATGAATTTGTTGTTGTTGTTGTTGTTGTTGTTGTTGTTGTTGTTGTTGTTGTTGTTGTTGTTGTTATTATTGGTCTCACTGAACTTCCAATTCCAAGACCCTCCACTGTCCTAATTCTTCCACAGCTTGCCACTGTAAAGGAACACAGTGCCTTCCAGAAATGAGAGAGAACTGGGCAAAGTACCCACTCCTGGGTTCCCTCCTCTGTCAGCCCATATAATGGACTTACTTGGATCCAGTGGCAAAAATTTTGAGTTGTCCTGAGTATGAAATTGGAAAAGATGTTAGATCTGCCCCTCAAATTGCCACCAGTTGGACTACTGAGCTGTATATAAAAAGGGTCCCAGTTTGACATCAGAAGCGAGCCCTGATGGAGCCAGGCTCTGGAAGCTGCCAAAGGATGTCTGCTGCTGACATTGTCATCAAACCTTCAGCATGGCGATAATTAATTAATTAATAATTCTGTACACAAAAGTGAAAGAACTGACAGTCAGGGACTGCATCAAAAGACTGTAGAAAATCTTAAAATCAAAATTAAATGGTGGAAATACAATCAAAGCAATAAATACATGTGCAGTTTCAATACTTCGATATCCAGCTGGAAAAACAGATTGGACCCTAAATGGAATTAGAAGAACTGGATTGAAAAACATGGAAACTAATGAACATGCATCATGCACTACATCCAAAAGGGGAGTGATGTGGACAGATTATATTTGCCAGAAGAAATTGGAGGCTGTGGATTACTGCAAATACAGCAGGTAGTACTGCTCCATGATCACTGAAGATGGTGACAGCAGCCACGAAATTAAAAGATGCCGGCTTCTTGGGAGGGAAGCAATGAGAAACTTTGATAGCATCTTAAAAAGCAGAAACATCGCCTTGCCGACAAAGGTCCCTATAGTCAAAGCTAGGGTTTTTCCAGTAGCGATGTATGGAAGTGAGAGCTGGACCATAAAGAAGGCTGACCACTGAAGAATTGATGCTTTTGAATTGTGGTGCTGGAGGAGACGCTTGAGAGTCCCCTGGACTGCAAGGAGAACAAACCTATCCATTTTGAAGGAAATCAACCCTGAGCGCTCACTGGAAGGACAGATTCTGAAACTGAGGCTCCAATACTTTGGCCATCTCATGAGAAGACTCCCTGGAAAAGACCCTGATATTGGGAAAGTGTGAGGGCAAGAGGAGAAGGGGATGACAGAGGATGAAATGGTTGGACAGTTTCATCAAAGCCACCAACATGAATTTGACCCAGCTCCGGGAAGCAGTGCAAGACAGGAGGGCCTGGCATGCTCTGGTCCATGGGGTCACAAAGAGTCGGACACAACTAAACGACTAAACAACAACAGTACTGTATTGCCAGACTCCAAAAACCCATGGGAACATCAGATAGAGAAGGTGTCAGAAAATGAGGAAGTCACGATCTTGTGGGATTTCCGGATCCAAACCGATAGACACCTTGAACAGAACACACCAGATACAGTAGTAATAGAACCAAGAAATGTCTGTATCATTGACACTGCAATTCCAGGAGATGCCAGAGTTGAAGAAAAAGAACTGGAAAAACTAAGAAAATACAGAGATCTGGCAATTGAAACATCTCACCTGTGGATGAAACACACTTCAATGGTCCCTGTAGTCATTGGGCTTTGGGAACAATATCAAGAAATTTCACACAATACTATAAGTAGCTGCAGATTTCAGAATATCATCAGAGCTACAAAAAATGGCAATATTGGGAACAACATATATGCTCCGCCAATATTTAACATACTTAGGATTTTGGTTAAGACTTGTATCTGTTATATAATACCAGTCAATGTTTTTGTAATTTTGATAGATTGTGCCTGGTACTTAATAATTAATTAATAACTAATAATTAACAACATCTCACACTGAAGGACAATAACCATATAATTAATAATAGTGTGCTTATATAGCACTAATATGCATAGAACAAAGTAAAAGGAACAGCAACAAAAGCAAATATGTGCTGCAGGGAGCTTATATCTCGCATTTTTACAATGGATAAAGATGAAAGAGTATGGGATGGGGTGCCTTTAATCCTATAAATACTTACCTGAAAGTAAGCCTGCCTATGCACAGAACAGCTTACTTCTGAGTAACCATGTATAGGATTGCACTGTACATATAAAAAAACTTTACTCAAGATGAAAGCCATGAGATTGAGCAATATTTTACAGAAATGCTGGTTTGTGTTTAGCTCTGTCATCTGACCATTAACTATCAGCTGGGAAGTCAAATTCAGAAGCCAGTTTCTTATCAGTTTCAGGCACCTTCTTTGCTAGCCAACATATCGAAAAAGAGTTGAATGCAAGATGAGAAGTCATGATAGTTTACACAGGGCCATTCAAAATTGGTTCCAGCATGCAGAGTCATTCAGGCAGTATTTTTCTGCCTTATTCTAAAACGTCCAGGTGCCAAGCAAAAGCATCTGCACCAGTTATGTGGTCACTGTATAATGAAGCAAGACAAAAAAAAATCCTTAAAAACAGCTAATACTTGGTGAACATTTAAAACCAGCTAGGGATCCCATGGAGTAAATTATTATAGGATAATATGCTTAGACAAAAAAAAATACTCCAGCAACATTATGAGAAATAAAAGTAAAATGAACCAAGTGGGGAAAAGAACATATTTGGAAACTGTTAGTAATTTTCTCTTCTAAATTTATTCTCTGAATCTACCACCATTTTTCTTTTTCAGGTATTTTAGACTCCACTACTTTGGCTTTAATCTTTTTCCAAATGGTCTGGCTGCAGATCAAAGCTTCTCAGGGAAGTTTGATAACCAAATGATAATACCAGATGCAGCATCATCTGTATTTTACCTAAGAGTCAGATTCAACTCAATAGGGATCAATTCAAGTTGGAACATATTCAGAATGGCCCCACATTTTTAACCACTTAGAAAACTTCTCCACTCTGGCAAGACTACAACTTAAATGCATGGGATATTCAGAAATTAAAACATATGATTTTGCTTTATTAATTATTGTTGCAAATATTCTGTAGCTCTCATTCCATTCTATTTCCTTTCTGTTTAAATTTTTTACACTACGAAAATCACACAGTATTTATGTTTATATATGGTTTATGTATACCTTCCTGAACACAGTGACCAGAACCTTATTGCTCCCATAAACGAAGTGTAAGCTGGAATGGTGTAAATCAGAGCAGTGAATCACTACCAGTTAAGTATGTGCTGCTTGTACTTCATGCACCAAATCTCACAACTGGTGTGTGATGAGGAATACAGTTCATTAAGTAGTGGCAATTTCCTGTTGTGATACACACCACTGGATTTATGCTGATGTATGTAAGCAATTGGATTCTGGCCACAATAAAGGATTTTCCATCGTTTAAAATCCTAAGTAATTTTAAATTTAAGTTTAAATAATCATCAATAAACAGCTCCATACATATGTAAAGTATATTGTACAGTGGGGTCTCGACCTACGAACACCCGGCTTACGTACTTTTCGACGTATGTACAGCTCCAGCCGCAAAATTCCGGATCGACCCGTACTTTTCGATGTATGTACAGCTCCAGCCATAAAATTCCGGATCGACTTGTGGCCGGAGCTTCGACATACGGACCGAAAAGGCAGGGGAAAAGGGCGGGAAATTCAAACCGTTGGTGGCGAAGAGGCTGCTTCTTTAGCTCTTTCGCACCAACAGTTTGGAAAAGGGAGGCGATGGGAAAGCCCAACCAGAGCAAGCGAAGGGCAGCGCAGCAGCAGCGGGGAGAAGGTCTTGCTCCCCAGCCGGGGAAACCTATTAAGGAGAGACTCCCTAGCCATCGGTGGGAACCCACCTCTCCCCCCCTGCTCAGTGCCCAATACGAATGGATTTCCCCCATCACTGGGCCTCTTACATGCAGCCGGAAGCTCGGCTGGCCGTCCCTTGCAAGCCGGGGCTATTTGCATGCTTCCGTCATTGCTAAGGGGAATCTCCCGCCGCCCAGGGCCTCTTCGGTGCGGCAGTAACCGATGCCTGCCAGCCCTCGCCTGTGCTGATGGCTGCAGGTGCGGTGAGGTGTGTGTGGCCACTTCAGGAGGAGCAGCGGAGAAGCTGCAAAGCTGCCTGGTGAGGGGAAAAGCCCTGATCGGCTCTCGCCTTTCTCCCCCCCCCCCCCCCCGGCTCCTCTGCCCGCACACCCACCTTGGGGG